GAGAAAATAAAAATTTTAAAAGTGCTTAAGTACTTGAAAAGGAGACTAACTTTATTGTATGTGTTTTGCTCATTGGTGAAGGCCAAACATTATTCTACAGTTGTTTACATTCTATATCTTTTGGTCTTTGGTGGATAGTTGTCTGATTGGCAATCATACCATACATCTTATGTTTTATATAGCCGTAAATCTCAAAATTCAGAAGAAATGATAAAACGGAGAAAACAACTTTAGTTAAAACCTGATCTAAGAGACCTTAGGACAGTGGATGAAAGCAACTATAGGTCACTTGATATTACGTACTGCCTTTAGCAATGAGAAAAAAAAACATACTTTATACTCCCTTTTCATGTGCTTCAACAATTTAAATTGTTTTATTTTTTAAAGGTAAAATTGGAATATTTGGCAGGAATTTTCCCTATTGGAAAATGGTTTTCTGATCCATTGTCTGTCACTAGCCACTTCATGTTGAAATAATTACATTGCATGTATGTTTCATTATAATACATTATTTTGATTGGCTAACAGCAATCTCGAGTCATTCTGAAATTTACCTTCATTTTTAAAAATGAAATGTAACATTCATGATGACACAAGCTTCCACAATAAAGTGCACAGGTAAATAAAAGAAAAAAATGATAGAAATTGTGTTTTCATGATCCTAGCAAAAAATGTAATTATAAGTATTGAATGCTTCTTTTAGTAATTTTATAGGGGTGTAAAAGCGTTCACCATGTGCACATTTTTAGAATGAAGTGCTTCCGCGCTTTATACAAAATGTACTTTGGTCAATGCTTTTACACCTCAATAAATTTACTAAAAGAAGCATTCAATACTTATAATTACATTTTTTTGCTAGGATCATGAAAACTCAATTTCTATCAAGTTTTTCTTTTATTTACCTGTGTACTTTATTGTGGAAGCTTGTGTCATGATGAATGTTACATTTCATTATATCATTTTGAATTCAATTCTTAAAGAGATGAAACATAGATGTTAGGTAAATGTAATTGAAACAATAATAAAAACTTGAGGTTACCAGAAACATTCTTAAACTTCTGTGGAAATTTTATAATACAAAATACAAATTTTAGCCCAAAAAATATTTTATTTTTATTTTTTTGAGATCGCGGTTATGAAATGTCATCAACCCATGAACAATTATGATTTATCCCTAAAACACAAGTAGGACTTGAATTTAGACTTGTACTGTGAAACAACAAACCTTTATCCTGGCCCTGTAACCTTAACTAATGACTTAAGATTTTATTGGAGTCCTAAAGATACAATTTTACCCTGCTGGGATTCTAAAACTGAGCCCTAATCTTCAGGTATAGGGTTCTATAAAGTTAAGAATTCTTGGTTTAAGGATGTTTGCTCCTCTCTGTCAAAAAAACAAGCTTTTTAAAAGACTGTTATAAATTAATAGTTAATAAATAAAGAAACTAAAAAAGCAGAAAAAAATGTAGGGTCTCTGTGCTTGTTTTCAAGATATAAGCCATTGAAAATTTGGCGGGAAATGGTACTTGTTAGACTTTTCATGCATTTAACATTGTCACCTTTTCTCTTTTAAAAACTAATGAAAAAATAACAAGGATTTTATAAGATTTTAAAATATGGCTTTTAAAACTATATGTAACAAAATTATGAAAAGAAAAGTAGGGGTTAGTGGATAAAATGTTTTAATGGCAAAACATGGATAAAACCAGAGGATTCCGAAAATCTGGCAAAAATTCAAAAACAAGAGTAAGTAGCTTTTCACTTGAGATTTTAAATGGTATGACCATATGGTACAAAAAGACCACTATTATAGCTGGGATATCATTTAAAAACATTTTTTGTGTCTATTTCAACATGTTTTTCTGTGATGAATGTTTAAAGCAGCAATTTTGTCTGAGAAGGGGAGATAAATGCAATTTTTACCATGGTGCTAAACTGAATAGTTTTTTTTACAATAGCACAATTACAAATGTGGTGCTATAATTTTTTAGAGAAATTAAGTGCTATTTCAAATACCATGGTGCTCTTTGAAAATACTGGGGAGACACGGGTCACATAAGAAGTAATTTTCATCAGAAAAATTGAAAACGCTACATAGTATGTGTGTCAAACAAAAATTGAAGTAGAAGGTCATTCTCCAATAAGATTTGAAGTAAAAAAAATGTTATCCCAGACATGAAATTAAGATAATTGCTTTTAGAGTTGCTTTTAAAAATTTCTTTTTATACCAAGATAACTATATTATTTCCTTTATACTATTTAGTATCACATTTATTTTTCTCAGGAGATTTTGTGAAAGAAAGCTATGAAATTTTAATGGGGTTGATGGCGTTGTTCTGCCTTATATGGGCATAGGTTAATAATTCACGAGAATTTCAATAACATTTTTGAAAATTTAACTGAAATCAATAAATGTATATATTAAAACTCACCTTTATTCAATATACTTTTAAAAATCAAATGAATTTTGAAAAATTGAAATCTCTTTTTCGTCCTTCCAACAAAAGGCTGCTTGAATATTTATTTTTCATTTAGTCTTATTCCCCTATCAGTAAAAGAAGTTAAAGCATATTAAAAAAGCCTCTTATATTGTGGCAAACAATTTCTTTATTTGAATGAACAAAAGTGAGGTATAATTGAGATGAATTAATATTAGAGTCATCGTTTGGCTTTTAAATTATTTGTAATATCTTGTTTACATTTAACAAAAGTTCTTTTTTACTTTATTTCATAATAGTTAAGTAATAGAAGTTAACTTAATTTAATAAAAATTTCTTTTATTGGAATTTTTAAATCAGTATAAGCAAGGACAGAATGTATGCCACATGTCTAGGATTTAGTAAATAAATTTAAATCTTCCCTGAACAAGTTTAAAATATTAGATTAGACAGTCTCTAAATTATTCACCATTAAGGCAATAATTTTTTTTCATCACTTAAAATCATAATATGGCAAGCCTTAAAAAGCCCAAAATTTAGACTAAATGGTGAAAATATTTAACAAAGATTTAATATTTACTGGGATAGGTCAATTCAACAGACTAGGGGGGGGGGGGGGGGTTAAACTAGAGGTTTTAAGCACTGAACTAATGCATATTTTCTTGCAACTGGCCAGATGTATTCCAGTAATATAAAAAAGGGGTGCCAGGTGTCATATATTTTTACAATATGTAAACAGAATCGGCAAAAAAAACTTTCCAAACTTTTAGGACACAGTCTAAGGGTTTTCAGAGAGCACAAGAATGCCTTCCTTGTCTGAGACTGTTCAGGTAACAACTAATGAACCTTCTAAAAACATTTTCTAAGGAAACAAGTTAGAATATACATGTTTTTTTCAACATGTTCAGACTATATTTTTATGATAAAATAGATTTTATCTTTCAATCTTTATGTAACATACGAATACCATACAGTTTATTAAATGAATGAAATTTTATCAATTATGAAAACAATCTTATAACAGTTTCATATATTATCATCTGGGAACTTCAGAGGGATGGTAACGATGGCTAAATGGTTACAGCTATCTTTTGATGATTAAAAAGAACACTCTAAATTCTGAATCAACTAATGATTTTAGTCTGTGTGTAACTGAACCAAAACACTTAAGTAGTAAAGCGTGGAAGAGATTCAAATGTGTGGGATCTAAATAGAAATTTAGTTAACTGACACATTTATCATAAAATTTTATTTGGAACTATCATTTTCTGCTTTGGTAAGTTAGTATTATGTAATTTTTAGAGAATTCTTTATCTGAAATAATTGCTGAATTTTGTTTATAATACTATTGTTTAAATTAAAAAAAGTAAAAGTTTTTGAAAGAGAAATTAAAAAAGTTTTGGATTTTTTACCTTTTCATGTTCTGATTATACATGTAGTTTTCATTAAAAAAAATAGTGAAATGGAATACTTTTCAGACAGTAATTTCTAACCTTTTTTTATCCTTGAAATTTAAATATTTACTCTTCCGCAGAAGATACCTTATCTAAAAATAAATACGAATCTCATCACTCCATAAACTAAATAGAAGTTATACCAAACTGATGAAAATCAAATTGGTTTCAGAGAGAAATTGTTTATATTCCAAGTTTCCTGCTCAAAAGAAAAATCATGTAAACTGCCAACTATCAAAAATTATTAATGAAAATCATCTTACAATATCAGTCATCAATTTCTTATGTGTGGTCCAATATGGATGAAACTATCCTTACGTTTCCAAGAACTTTTAGTGCAGAAATGTAAATTTCTTTTTGAAATTGATTAGGATTAATTGTGTATATGTGAATTGGATAAATGAAGTGATTAAATGATTAGCATTGGGCTTACAGTCATCCATAAATTGATGTTTTAAGGACTGCAAGAAATTTTAATGCAAGTTTGTCTTAGCATTTTACTTCTGGGAATGCTACATTTCTTTGATGAAAATTGATCTTAATCAATAATGAAAGGTTTAAATGTTATTAAATCAATTAATTTGCAACTTGGAAATTGCTTCTGTTTGGAAAATATTTTAAAGATCGAAAATTATTACGCTCACAATTGCAATAAGGATTTGCAAGCAGATTTTTAAATTGTAGCTTAATCCATTGAAAATAGTGTATGCAATTATTAATAAGTTGCCTTTATCAATAACCTGTTAGAATTTTTGGAATAAAAATAAATATTGGTTTAGATGTTTACCCATGGAGAAACAAACAATTTATTTGGAATCATCCCTATGTCAACAATCTATTGGGATAAATTTAATTGAATTCCCTCATGAAGTTAGTGATTATAAACCAATAATGTTATTAGAGGTCAAATAAAATGTTTTAAAAAAATCATGATTAATTAACGATAACTCATCACAGCTTATTAATTAATCGTAAAGTCAACAAATTGATAACTGATGATAATTATTGGTAATGTAGCTGTCTAATTTAAAAAGGTCTTAATTACTAGATTAAACGTTAAAAAAAAATTGTATCCACCATTTATTAACTGTTTTGAATTCCAGGATATTTAGACTAGGTGCGGAAAAAAAATAATTCCGTAATCAAAACTACTTGGATGACAAATTTGACTTATATAAACCAGATGGAATCCAAATAAAGTGACAATTAGAGAAATATTAACATGATCAAATCTTCGGATGACAGGAAAAAGTTGATCCGGTACAATAGCCGCAAATATCATTGATCCAAGCAGAACGAACATTCCTTAATGCTGTGTTGTCATTTTCTTGTTGATTCTATGTTAACAGTTGTAAGGTATTGGATAATACTATACTAAATTGAGAACCTTGCGATTTATCATAATAGAAGCTACATTAACAATGTCGAGGAATATTGTATTTATGGGGGGCACCTAATTGTTCCAATAGAGTTGGTTTTCATTTGGAATTGACGGAAGGAAATCTCAACCACATATGCTGTCTGCTAGCGAGGTATGTGTTTATAGGAATGCATAATTGTAACATCATAGACAATTTAATTTGGAATCGTAACAGGCAGTATTTACAGTTCTCTGAACACGACATGTAGTGCTACATTGCCAAAATTTCTGTATGTAATATATATAAAAAGCATTCACTGCTAATTGTGCTACGGAATATAAATTACTAATAGTTTAGATGTTGTGTTTGTTAGACGATTCTTTTTTTGAGTCGTCTTCCGTTAAATAATTTCTACCAATTCGTATGACACTGGATTTTAAACAGACAGGCCTCGCGTCCAGTGACACTGGGACTCCTCAGCCTGGTCCCAGTGGTCCTAACTTATCAATAATTCAGCATGGGAATCAGTACAGGCGATGTCAGACGGACTCTAGCATGGATTTAACAAAATTAAAACCAGCGCCAGACCGGCCTCGACTTTTTATGTCCAAATCTGGCAAGGTTGTGATAGTATTCCCAAATGGAGAAATTGTTGAAGGTAAGTTCCAAAAATAAAAAATTCTAGAGGTGAAAGAAACAGACAGGGGGTATAAAAATTATTTTAGACCCTAAAGCAGGGTAACTTTATGCTGTAGAATATGAATGAGGATATATGAAAGATAGATTTTGGACCTCATGTATTCTTCATGAATTTAGACCTGATGAAGATGTCTAAGTTTTAGACCTTGGGTATAGGTCAAAATTTTAGACCTCATATACTTTTAGTCCTAATGTATTGGTAATGATTTCAGACCTAAAGTGTTGGGTCAAGATTTTAGTCCTCAAGTATATGTAAAGTTTTTAAGACTTCAGATATTAGTCGAGATTTTAGACCTTAAAGTATAGTTCATAATTTTAGACCTCAAGTACCTGTCAAGATTTTAGACATCAAGTACATGTCAAGATTTTTAGACATTGGGTATAGTCCAAGATTTTAGACCTCAGATATTGGTCAAGATAATAGACCTTATCAATGTTATGATTTTAGATCTAGTATAGGTCATAATTATAGACCAAAAAGTATAGAATTTAGCTATAGACCTGTAAGTCATGATTTTAGACTTAAAGTATTGGTCAAGATTTTGGACCTAAAACATAGGATATAAATTTAGACTTAAAGTTTAGATCAATAAATTATACCTCAAGTACATGTCAAGATTTTAGACCTCAAGTACATGTCAAAATTTAAGACCTCAGGTATAGTACAAGATTTTAGACCTCAGATATTGGTCAAGATTTTAAACCTTATCGATGTTATGATTTTAGAACTAGTATAGGTCATAATTATACGGGTAGACCAACAAATATAGAACTTAGTTTTAGACCTAAAGTAAAAGTCATGACTTATTTAGACTTAAAGTATTGGTCAAGATTTTGGACCTAAAATATAGAATATAAATTTAAGACCTAGAGCATAGGTCAAATTTTTTTACCTAAAGTATAGGAGATAATGGACCTAAAGTATAGGTCAAGATTTGAGACCAAAGTATATTTCATGATTTGAGACTGTTATTATAGGTCATGAATTTGAAACTAAAGCAAAGGTCAAAATTTTGGACCTAAAGTATAGGAGACAATGGACCTAAAGTATAGGTCAAGATTTGAGACCAAAGTATATTTCATGATTTGAGACCGTAATTATAGGTCATGATTTTGAAACTAAAGTATAGGTCATGATTTTGGATCTTAAGTATACTGGTCATGGTGTTAGAACATTAAGTATTGGTCATGGTGTTAGACCTAAAAATAGAGGGCATAGTTTTAGACCTAAAAGTAAAGGTCAAGGTTGTAGACCAAAAAGTATTATAGTCTTCATTTTAATCTTAGAAACAAAGGTCATGAAAAAAAAATGAAAGGTTTCCCCATCTCAGTTTTAGACCTTTAACAATTGTTTAACTTTCTCGTGTTTTGTATGTAAAGTTTCTGTGTGCAACTTTTAGGCATGGATTCAGATGCTCAACCCACCCACAAAAAAAGAGGAAAATTACAGCCATTTTCTTGTCAATATTTGGTCCTTGTACTCCTAATTCTGAGGAGGAATCCCCCCCCCCCCCCCCTAGCATAAAATCCCAGATCTGTGCCTACCTTTTTGAAGAAAGTATGATATTGATTCTTGAGAATGTAAACAAATTTTAATGAATTGAGTTGATTAGTATGTACCTAATCAGAGGAAGAATATGTAGTTAATTAAGGCTTTCATTGAGTCTTGATTAAAAATGGCTCTTGTTTATCTATTCAGCAAATCTACAATTATTTTCTGGACTTTGTGTTTTACTGTAGAACATCCATGCAAGAAATACTGAGGCTTCATATATTTTATGGGTAGCAATTTTCATATATTGAAGAAAATTATATGTTCACGGATGGTTTTAACTAATTCTGTATACAAGCATAATGTGCAATTTGTTTATGGTTGAGCAATAACAATGAAGCACAACAAAACGACAAAACACAAGAAGTGCCGATCTAACAAGTACTGGACAGGTTTTTTGGGAGAATTTGGAAAGTTTGAGAAGGTTTACAAATGGGTTTAGTTTATTCAGAAAAAAGTAGATCCCATTAATAAATATATACATGTAGTAGAAATTACATTGACTAGCACACAGCTTTTATGCTAATTTCTTTCAGATATATTTTAGGGTATGATTAAATAACTTCATAATTGTTTTTCATTTAAGGGAGCTACCATTTGATTTTTATGGGGGGGGGGGGGGGTTGGGGGGGGCTAGGAAGAAATTTGAAAAAAAAGGCAGGACAGGAGTTTTGAGTAAAAAAAAAAAGGCAGGATGAGCAACTTGGCCAAAAAAAAAGGCAGGATGACAGTTTGTGTAAAAAAAGTCAGGATAAACTAATAAAAAAAAGGCAGGACCTAATAGAGTGAAAAATAAAAAGGCAGGACAGAGATTACAACTATAAAAATGCAGGACAAAATTTTTCATCCTAGCCCCCCCCCCCCCCCCCCCCCCCCCATAAAAATCAAATGGTAGCTCCCTAATGTTATAAACTAAATCAGGACATTCTTTTATTAATCCTTTCACATTCGCTTTCACATGTTATCCCATGGCCCTTTTTTATACGACCGCAAAAAATTTGTATTCATATATTGCTATCATGTTGTCGTCATCGTCGTCAGAAGACATTTGGTTTCCAGAAAATAACTTTAGTATAAGTGAAAGGATCTCTATGAAATTTTCTAGTTTCCGGACAATAACTTGTCTATAAGTGTATGGATCTCTATGAAATTCACTGCCCAGTACCACAAGGTTCCAATACCACAAATGAAAGGTTTGGATTGACTTTGGGGGTTATGGCCCAAACTGTTCAGGAATTAGGTTTTTCTGGTTAATTGACAATACTTAAGTATTAGTCAATGGAACTCTCTGAAATTGTACTACAAGGTTCCATACCACACACAGAAGATTTTGTGGTTGTGACTTTAATCAATAAGAAACTAGAGGCTCGTAAAATAGGAGCCAAAAACAAGACTTTTCTAATACTGGTTAAGCTGGTTCTAACATAAATTATTTCTGATCTATATAAAGAAACAACCAATACTGTATATGGCAGGAGATACACACCAAACAGGGTGTGTAAATTATTATATTTAGTTTGTAAATAGATTTACTAAGTATTGCGCAACACAATAACAGCAAGAAATCTTCAATTGAAAATAAAAACAAATCTTTTAATCAATTTCAGTGAGGATTAATTTAAAGTCTTGAATTGTTTGAGGTTTTTACCATGTATTACTATATTGGATATTTGGACATTTTTTAATAGGTGTACATTGAGGTCCAAAGGGTCCAAAATTAGACTTTGTTTGATTGCATCAAAAACTAAATTCTTGTGGTTCTATGATATACTGAATCTAACTGTGCATTCAGATTTTTAATTTTGGGCCTTGTTTTCAAATTAGTCTATATTAAGGTCCAAAGGGTCCAAAATTAAACTTTGTTTGAATTTATATTTTTTTTTATATTCTGAATCTAACCATGGAATTAGATTTTGGATATTGGACCATTAAATAGATTAAATGTCCCATTTCAAATTTTTAAGTTATCTGACCACATTTATTCTGTGTCAGAAATCTATAATGTGTCAAATATTTAATCACTATCCAAATTCAGAGCTGTATCAAGCTTGAATATTGTGTCCATACTTGCCCCAACTGTTCAGAGTTCGACCTCTCCTGTCGTATCCAGCTGCCTCAGGCAGAGCGCATTTTTATAGCGTAGAATATGGTATGGGTTTTGTTTATTGTTGAAGGCTGCACGTATTACAGACCTAGTTGTTTACAATGTATTAATTCCTTTGGACTTTGGTGGATTAATTGTTGTCTGATATTGCCAATCACAACATACTGACATAAGAATGCAATTTGTGTTGATTTTTCTAATGTTGCATTTTGCTGGTGTTACAATGTATACTTAGTATTGATCTTAGATTTTGGACAAACAACTGCAATGTCATTGAACTCGTACGTAAGCCCAAGGTTAACATTTCATGGGTAATTTCTGTTTTGACTCAAATTCATTTTATTTGCTCTACCATGATCATTACTATTTTTCATTCATATTTTGACTGAGCTGAAAAAACAGGCTTGCTCTAGAGACAGCAGATGGTTTTATAGTTGTATTATATTGAAAAATCAAATGTTTTTTAAGTTTCAATTTTGTTAAAGTGAAGCTGTGTTGAGTCTAGATGGTATTCAGACTTGAGATCTGGCCTCTGTTTTGTCTAGCCATAGCCAGCTTACTTGTAGATAAAAGAAAAATTAGACTTGAAAACTAAACATTTTTCAGTGAATACCCTAAACTCTCCCTCTGAAAACTTGTTGGATCCCCCATGCAATGAAGCAAAAGTCTATGTAAAGGTAAGGGATCTAAATGTTGAAATCGGATCCCCCAATTTTTCATAGACTAGTTTTCAGTAATGTTTGATTAAGATCAGTTTGTGCTGGTTCATTTGAGAGTCAGATTTAATGACGACCTTTTTTACACAATTTTAAAACAGCACAAGAAACAGATGATTATTTTCAAAAAAGGAATTTTAATGAACTATCTACACATCAGATCAAATAACAACCATACTCTTCTGTTCTTTTCCACATCTCTAATACATGTCGCTACTGTAAATTTTATTTTTAGTCTTCATTTTACAACCTGACTTAGGGTCGAATCCACTGCAGATTGATGTTTTGTCCCAGAGGGTATCACCATCCCCAGAATAAGTGATGTTTTGTCCCAGAGGGTATCACCAGCCCCAGAATAAGTGATGTTTTGTCCCAGAGGGTATCACCAGCCCCAGAATAAGTGATGTTTTGTCCCAGAGGGTATCACCAGCCCCAGAATAAGTGATGTTTTGTCCCAGAGGGTATCACCAGCCCCAGAATAAGTGATGTTTTGTCCCAGAGGATATCACCAGCCCCAGAATAAGTGATGTTTTGTCCCAGAGGGTATCACCAGCCCCAGAATAAGTGATGTTTTGTCCCAGAGGGTA